TGTGATGAGAGATGTAAGAACCCCCAATAAAAGTATTAAAGAGAGAGAGAGCTAAAACTCACAACACATGGAACCCACCAGGAACAGGAGTGGGAATAGAGATACCGAAAGGGTAGGGGGAAGGGAAGGTGGGGAGGGAGGGGGCAACAATCACAATGAGCGGCACAGAACCCCACACGCCCATCCAGGGGGAAGAACAACAGAAACCAGAGGGGAAGGGAGACTGGTTGGTATGAGATGTGAAAAAAATGAACAATCTACAATCTATCAGGGGGCCACGAAGTTTGGGAGGGGGTTGGAGGGAGGGGAAAAAAAGAGGCGCTGATCCCAAGGGCTCAATGGAAAGTAAATGTCTAGAAAAGAACAATGGAATATATGTATGAATATGTTGGATACAATTGACGTATGGATTGTAACAAGATTTATAGGAGCCCCCAATAAAATGATTTTAAAAAAGAAAAAGAAAAGGGCTATATGATAAAATGCATATAGCATTCTCACAAACCCTCCAAATTTCAGTCAATGCAAAGGATTCTTTTTAGAACAGCAATAAAAGTGAGAACTTGTAACCACATAACTAAAAAAGAAAAGAAAGAAAATACGTGTCAATTTTGCTGGCATGGGTTAGTCTTTACATAAACATGGAAAGAAAAGTAAATATTTCTTAAAGCTACAAAATAACCCCTCTTAACATATTGGTATGTTCTGATAAGAGTTATCAGTCAAGCGAAAGTACATTCTTCAAGAGAATCGGAGTTCTAAGAGAGGCAGCTTCCAGTTTGTTTTGTACTTATCATCAAAATATTCAAAGCACGCTGATCTTAAAATAGTCTATCAGTAGAGAGTATACAAAAATCCCTTTTTACTGATTCTGACATGCTGTAGTAATATTCTTGGAAATTCCCAAAAGGTTCAATAAACTTATAATAATAAACATTACAATAATTTCAGAATGACAATTCTTGGTTATTAGAATTATTTGGAAGTCATGATTATATTAACTTGAGTTGTTTATTAGAATTTATATTTATAAGAATTTATTTATTATTAAATTATAATGAGCTTAATTGCTTAACGTGGGCTTTGTAAAACGTATGGTTTAGCTTCTGTGGTATATATAGTGGAGGCGTGGACATGGCAGGCTTTAGATAGATGCTGGGATCAGGTTTAAATTCTGTCCTAGTCAAAATAATGTAGATGTCTGGAAAACAAGAATCTTACTAGTAGTTAGAAGTATGCATTTGAGAGATAAGTTTTCTTGATAGCTGACTCCTAGGGGAACTATAGGCAGTCCATGACCTGAACTTACCTTCCAGCAGCCAGACTACCCACTGCATTTCCTTAGAAGAGCCATTGGGTTCAAGCTCAAGGGGGCAGACACTTGGGCAGACTTGTTGAAAATGTTTCTACTCCCTGTCTCCCATGAGGACTCAGCTGCTGCCATCTGCTTCCACTCCCCCTGCCAAGTCTCACAGCCCAGGGTCCACTAAAGAATCCCAGGCCTGTCTGGATTTTGAGGGACACACCTGCCTTCCATGTGGCTTCTCACCAGACAACTTAGATTTACTTGATGGACTCTTGAAGTGAAAGTTCAAAATTGCATGTGGATGACTTCCTGAGTTGACTCTATACTGCTTTATGAAGAGTTAACAGGCCGAACACAAGAGTTGAAGAATTCTAAAAGCTGATGATACTGTTTTAAGTCAACTCCACTGTGAAAGTTTAATCTTTGTTTATCCAAATTCTAATCCAAAGTGTAACTGTGTTAATATTATATCAGCAACTGTTGAGGTGTGTCTCCACACCCAGCTGCAGACCAGATGGCCAAGAATGCATGAATAATAACAAAGGCACACCAGCCACTGTCACTTAGCCTCCTTCCCTGACTAACCACCTGATTTCCTACGCAGACACACAGGAGTGGTGTCTTGATCTCAAGAGAGGCAGATCTTCCCCCGTCCTGAGATATAAATCATAATTACTCTCTTGCCCAAAGTATACGGCAGTGAAAGGAAGTTCCGGAGATTAAGGATTTCATAGTTAAGTTTAAAGCCTACAATAAAATGATAGGCTGAAAGAAGGCAAAGATGGAGAAAGCAAATAAATGTGTTAAGGTATTGCAGTGTTTATAAAATTAAGGGCACTTATTTAATATGTAACTGAAGGCTAGCATTTTACCTTAACTAAGAGAGCTTAAGGGCAGGGAGGGAAATGTGTTTGAACAGATGGACATGGAAATTGAGGTCAGCCCCTATAATCTCTACCTTTTAAACCTCTTTGCATGTTGCTGGAAGCTAGTTACCGAGAGAAATAACCAGATAGCATTCAAGGCCACTTTTAGCTGTTTACAGCAACTATAGTTCATCACATAAGTAAAGAAGCTCCTATACTTTTTCATGGAATTGTCCATGGGTATCCATAAACACTACATGGAGACACACTGCGATCATCATAGTAATACGTTTTGTCTAGGGCTTTCAAAGTAACAATATTACAGGCCCCCAGCACCTCCTCTCAGTTCCAGGAATAAAGTCATATGTCAAACCCTTTTGAAAAAGCAGTCAAACTTTCAATGATGGCAATAGAAAAGTCCAAAGAGGACAGGTTCCAATTTGAAAAGGCCAATTTTCCATCCCAAGTTCCACATCAGTCAAATGAAACTGCTGCTGTTACTTCTCGACTCACGTAGTAAAATCTGTTGCTTATGTTCACTCTCATGTTCATGTGCTCATCGCCATCCAGTCAGTGCGGACTCATAGTGACCCTCTGTGGGTTTCTAAGACTGTAACTATTGATGGGAGTAGAAAGCCCAGTCTTGCTCCCTCAGAGCTGCTGGTGGTTTCAAACCACTGACCATGCAGATCACAGCACAACCATAACCACTACACCACCAAGGCTACCCTAGTGCTCATCTTCAGAGTCTAAAAACAAGAAACTGTGGTGAGATCATCCAATGTCTGCAGAACAGTGGACATTTTAGCTTAGAGGGTCAGTATCCTTGTTTGCACTGACATAATTCAAAAGTAGGAGTAATGATTTTGATATTGTGTGCTTTTTGTTCATGTTTTGAATACATTTAATATGTATTGCGTTTTAACAGAACTAATTTTACTTTATTAGGCTTCACAGTCTATTCAAATGTGGCCAATTTAAATAAAATCAAGATACTCTTCTGTATTAATTTCCTTAGTCCCAGCAATAGAATTGGAACTAAATTAAGACCAAGCAGTACATTCCGCAGGTTGACAGGAAGATTCTGAAGTATTTTCTTCTGGCCTCGCTTCAACTGACTCTGAATTTCCATTACTGTGCTACTTACTGTACTTTCATTCCCACAGGATTAGAGCAGTCGGAGCAGTTGGAGAAGTTTTCACGGTTTCATCATGAATGTTCCTCCTTTCAATATGCTATACGTTTTCTCATCTCACATTGGGCAGCTTTTACAACTTAGTATTATCTTGTTTACATGAAACAAAATTCCAATACTTTCCCCATAATCTAGAATAAGGTATTTCATAATATAAAGGATCCATATATTTATTTCTACGCTATAGCTCCTGGGTTTATTTTATAGATTGAGGTAAGTAGCTAACATAAGATACCGGTGAAAGCATTAAGGCTCATCTGTTCATCCAAGAGCCTGTTGGGGATTCCTGTGGGGTGAATGCACACTGGTGAGTGTACAATAGAGTTGTATCATTCTTGTGTTCACAGGCTGGGCAGTGAGAATGTTGACATGCGCTCATAGAAAGGCAGTACAAGTTAACTGAATCATGTTAAGTACATGAAAAGAAACCTATCATTTGGTACGCTTTGGGTTCTCAGAGCTACACACACACACACACACACACACACACACGCACACACACTCAGAGCTACACACACACACATTTGGTATGCTTTGGGTTCTCAGAGCTACACACACACACACACACAGACACACACACACACACACACTTTACAACTGACTGAGTAGAAGTTTCCGCTTGGCCAGCAAAAGCCCAGAAGGAACTCCCAGGTTATTCTAGCTCCAGATCAGACCCCAAAGCTTCAGCCTCCACACCTTGGGGAAAGAAGAGGCGACACCGGAGCCAGTACTCCAGCAAACCACAGCAAACAAAAACTCAACTTGATCGCTAAAACAGTTTTCACGTGTCTTCCATCCAACAGTGGAATTCCGTACAAGCAACAGCAATGCCCTTTGGCAGCATCGATTCATGGAGAATCCGGGAGGACTGCCACGGAGCGACCACATTTCGGCGTGAAGGAAGAGCACATGCCCAAGCCAGGGCCACTGTGCTGCCACTGTAGGGGGCTGAACGGATCTTGACAGAAAGCAGGGTTATAAATAAAAGCACACAGCATCTGGGGTCGGAATTTGTGGCAGCATGTATTTTCAAAAGCCCAAATTCGCAAATACAACCAACAGCAATACCTAGGAAGCCGTCCCAAATTAGCGAGAAAACACCAGCTCTCACCTTGCACAAACACACACTTCAGGGGTCAGTGACAAAGGCAGGCTGCACTTGCTGGCTGGTCCCTGGGCAGAGCAGCTGCTTTGTCCTGCTCGCTGAAAGCACACCCGAGCGAGCGAGCGAGCCTGTGGCAGGTCCTCCTCTCCCCGCAGCACTTTCTCCCATGACTCCATCAGACCGGAATGGAAACCACAGGCTCGCTCCCCGGCGCTCCTGGGCTTCCAGCTATGAGCTCAGGTAAAAATGCTGACACCTGCAAGGTCACCACAAGGTTAACACAGGCAAAAGAAAAAAAAAGGATGTTGGGAAGAGGACAGTTGTCAGGGAAGACCCTAAATTCCAGGGACTCTGCTTTATAAGAGATTCTGGACTACATAAATCAGAGCTGGGACAATAGGAGGTCAGAGAAGCCATAAATCTGACAATCCCATACTGGCTCAGAGCCAGCCTGCTAACTCAGAGGCATTCACTAAACAACTCTCTCTCTCTCTCACTCTGTGTGTGTGTGTGTGTGTGTGTGTGTGTGTGTGTGTGTGTGTGTTGTCCTCTGTCTCTTCCCTATTCCCTTCCTCTCTCACACACAGGCTGCAGTGTAACCATTCTAATTGCTTAGATAGCTTTCTCAAGCCAAAACTTTTTGTTCACCCTCTCCAGGTAGCGAGGCTTAAAGAAGACTTATAGAACATGAAAATATCTGCCAAAACTAAAATTATGCCTTTAAGAACAATATAGCTTCTGCCCAAAAATGAATTCATAGGAGGTAAGTCTTATGTTTTGTGTACATACTGGAATTATGCAAAAACCCTATTTTAAAAAAAAGATAGTAAAAACGTATTTATGTCAAAGCCAGATGGTACAATCATTTTTTTAAAAATATGATTCTTTGCCATTTTTGTCAATATCAATCTTGACTTATGTACAATTTGGGATAATCTTCAAAAAGAATTCTTAGATAAAATGTAATCACCTCATATGATACACTATAAAGGTATAAAAATCTATATTTCCCTGTAGAATTTCCATAGATTTTTTTTATTCTCATATTTTGACTTTTTCATTAGAAGAGGAGAAAGAACACGTTTTATGTTTGCAAATGTATCTGGTGTTTTATTTTTCCCTCAAGGGTAAATTAATATTTGTCAAAGTTTAGACGAATTTCATTAGCAGGGAATTTTTTCATCCTTGATTCACTTCCTCTTTCCCCGTCAGGCCTCCCTGTGGCCCAGCCCTTTCACTGCAACAGATTATTTAAGCACCTGCCAAGTGACTTCTAAACCTTTATAGGGCAAAAATAGAATTAAAAGGTAATAGAAATATTTCACAAACTATTTGAAGCCCTTTCTTATGTATCAATTTCCTAATCCACAAAATGGATATCTGGCTGTAGTGTTACTTTGCCTGGCTCTCAGATGGATGTGAGAGAGAAATAAGACAATGGATCTAATAAAATGCTTTACAAATTGTAGAGATCCAGGAACAAGATATTTTTCCTGCATTTTCCTTCCCTTCCGTTGCCCTGGTTAGTACTGGGGATTGTTTATTTCTGTTTCCTCAAAGAGGACCCTCTGGGTTTCCTAGGGACATATTTGCTCTAAGTGGGCTATAAATAGGGTTTGAGATTTTAGAGAGCCACAGTCCTCTGTGTGGCTTGATGGGGGATGGGTGGGGGATTGAAGGCAGTGACCCCATGGCCAGAGCAGTTAGTTGTGAGCCACGTGAGTGCTGGCTGGTCTTGGTGGCAGAACTCAAGTCGCTGAAAAGCTGACAAACCCTCATGTGCGTGGCTGGCTTCTCAGTGCGCGTGGTGTCCTGGTGTCCCGTGTGCTCAAATGGGTCTTGGGTTGGGGGCAGGGCTTAATGATGGGGCAAGGATGGAGATGGAATGCCAAGTATACTGCTGAGTTAATTCAGTATCAACTGCATCTGGGCATCAGGCTGAGGTTCCCACAATTATGTATGCATTATTTAGAGGTGCACCTGTGTGAGGGAGCAAGGAAAGAGGTGGAAAGTGGGGGAAAAAAGAAACTAGCAATGCGAGTACCCGTCTTAGGAGACACCCAGGGCTAGCGGCTTTATAAAATGTTTCTTAGTTAATCCTCATACGAAAAACACAGGAGTTGTTTTAGTCCCATTTCATAGATGAGAATAACTAACCTATGCGCTGTTATGGGTGAGCGGTGGGATTAGAATTCCAGTCAGGGTCTACGTTGGCTGTGAGAGTTGAAGTTATTGGGTAATGTATAACTGTGCTCAGAAGCGCAAAGTAGATGAAGTTCAGTTTTACTGAGAACACGTGGCAGCTAACAATGGCAACAAGAATCTCTTATGAAGTAGATAATAAGATCACTGCCATCAAATCGATTCCCCTGCATAGCGACCCCACCAGACAGAACAGAACTGCCCCTGTGGATTTCCAAGATTGTAGCTCTTTACCTGAGTAGAAATCCTCACCTTTCTCCCCTGGAGTAGCTGACAGTTTCAAACTTCTGACTCCAGTTATAAGGTGACCAGATGTCCCGCTTGTGGTGGGACAGTCCCTCTTTTTAACAATTTTTCCTGCGTCCCACGTTTTTAAAAAGTCCCGATTTTTGGAAAGAATGCACGACAAGCTAGGGTATATGGTTTTCGGCTGCCATGTGGCTATTTCGCCGGGATATGAGTTTTATCAATGGTGTCCTGCTTTACCAATGTTAAAATCTGGTCACCTTAACTAGCAACCCAACTTGTGCCCCACTGTACCAGCAGGGATCCCTTATGAAGCAGAGAGTGACCGATAGCCGAGCAAAGGGAACAGCTACTCTCACTCCCAAAGCAATGTTGAAGGAAGGAAGGAAGGAAGGAAGGAAGGAAGGAAGGAAGGAAGGAAGGAAGGAAGGAAGGAAGGAAGGAAGGAAGGAAGGGAGAAATATCCAGTCAGAATTGTCTTTAAGGGAATCAGAAATATTGCAGATATCCTTTAGCAAGATGAAATGGAGTAGGAAATATTTCATTAGCTCTCAGCTCAGAACTATTACAATTGGACAGGCCTTTTGGGGCTACGCTCTTCCATGTATTATATTGCTCCACTGAGGTTTTTGTTTCCAAACACCACACCTGGAGTCCTCTTGGGCATGGTTACCTCAGCAGAAGGCCTGACATGTCCCCCTCGTCCCCCTTCTCTCAGTGCTACTATCTCTGTTCTTTTTTTAAATTCTAACTGAAGTGGGGAGTCATATTTTAGATCATGAACTTTACTTTCAAGTCTGAGCTGCTCATCAAACCTTCCAACAACTTGCTCTTCCCTGCTCTTTGGCTTCCCTCCTTGCTCCTCCCTCCTGTGGATCAACACCTTTCACTGAACCCAGATCAACACCCACCGATGACGGGGTCTGTTGCTTTGCCCTACCCACTCGGCAGACTCCTGTGTGGGTCCCCTTGGTATGCAAGTCTTTATCTTCTCTTGTTTTGCTTTTTCCCTTGTCACAGTGGTCACATATAATATTTGTGCTTTGGGGATTGGCTAATTTCACTCAGCATGGTGCTGTCTAGGATCGTCCATGTCATAGCGGGCTTCGAGGTTTCATTCTTGTGTTTTCAGCAATGTGTATTATTCTACGGTGTGCATATACCAGTTTCTTTATCCATTCTTCTAATGATGTGCATTTAGGCTGTTTCCATTTCTGGCTATTGTGAACGGTGCTGTGATGGACACAGGTGTTCATTTGTCTGTTCTTGTGATGACTGTTACATATTTAGGTTCAATACCAAGTAGAGGGATTGCTCAAAAGCTTTTGTTTCTTGTCCTGCTTTTTGAGATTCTGATTTTAGGATCATCTATGTAACTTGCATTGAAATTTAAATGTATGAAGAAGAAAGAATTTGGAAGCATAACATAACATTTGTAATTAGTTAAGAGGGTCACTAAGTCGTTATGCCTTGCCACTTGATTTTTACTAGCTTGCAAGTACTTCCCTGATGTTTCCTAGTGGTAATGTTGAACTTCTGCTGGCCTAAAATCCTTAAAATCCTTCCACTTAGAATGGAACCAAGATCAGAGTGAACAGAAGGAAGTTGTTCTGGGACATAGACTGAGAAAAAGACTTTTTGTAATGAATTCATGTCTTCCCCTTCCTTTTGTTTGCTTCTTTTTCTCAGATCTTAGAAACAAATCCTAATGATAATGACTATGAATAATGGAAGGAAATACAGTTGAATTACTGGAAGTAAGTTAGGCAAAATTTAATCCACAATGTATACACTTGGAGCATTTCAACCATTTTGCATGGTGATATTTAGAGGATCATGTTAGGATTTTAAGGTTAGTTATGACCCTGAAAAAAGCATATGGAAACACTAAGTGTGCAATGTGCTCTGGATTTTGTAATGGCTGCTTAAAAGTACAGAAACATATGAGAAATATAAATTACAATAATAATAGAGTTTATTGTTAGGTGATAAGCCTGGCAGTGCAGTGGTTAAAATACTAGACTTCTAACTAAAAGATATTGGCAGTTCAAATCCACCAGCACTCTATGGGGGAAAACACAGCAGCTTGCTTCATAAAGATTTCATCCTGGGAAAGCTTATGGGGCAATTCTACTCTCCCTAGAAGGGAACTATGAATTGGAATCAACTCAACTGGAATAGGTGTTTTGTTTATTGTTAGGTGAAATTATAAGTAAATTAATTTTCCCCTTGATTTTTTTTTTCCTTTTTTCTAACCGGTCTTCTATGATAACTGCGACAGTATAATTAAAAACCAGAAATTCTAGTATATGAAAACCCAGGATTGATGAACCTATAGGGACAGCAAGTAGAATCAGGGTTTCTGGGGGTTACAGTGAGGGTGGTGGTAGCTAAAAGGGAGCTGATGTCAAGGAGTTTAGGAAACAATACAGATTTAGCAGGGAAAAAAAGGCACACATAAACACATATACCCCAAATACACACACCCCACCCCATAAAATGGGGAGAATATCAAGCACAAATAATAGGAGAGGACAGCGATTAATGTACTTTAGAATTACTTACATTGAATGTCAATGGACTAAATGCACCAATCAAAAGAGTAACAGATTGGATTGGCAACAAGATCACTCAATCTGCTGCCTTCAAGAGACACATTTCAAGCTCACATACACAAATAGAATGAGAGTCAAAGGATGGCAAAACATTTACCACGCTCATGGCAATCCCATGAATCTTTGATGCCCAAGCCTAGTGGTGTAGAGAGCTGTTAACCACCAGGCTAGCAGTTTGAAACCACCAGTCACATTGCGAGAGAAAGATGAAGCTTTCTACTCCCTTAAAGAATTAAGAGCCTTAGAAAGGACAGTTTAGGGAAAGTTTGCACAACCTTGGAAGCCCTAATGGATAATTATGCCCTGCCCTACAGCTGTTGCTCTGAGTCAGATTTTATTTGGTTCAGGTTTGAATTTGATTTGAGTCAGGTTTGGTTTGGAGGTAAATAACTAATAAAACTGAGCATCTTTCATGTACTTGGTAGCCATTTCTATATTTTCTCTGGTGAAATGTCTCTTCAAGACCTTTGCTCATTTCCTGATTCACAAAATTTGGGATTGATTGCATTTTTCTTGTGACCGACTATAATTGTAGATCATCTCTTGTTCAGGCAGAGGTTGAGTGAATAAGTATATCTGCATTATTGTTAAACAAATATCTTGCTATACATTGTTAGGGACTTTAATTTGTATTCATTTTCTGTGTGCTATTGGTATAAATAGCTTATATATGCTAATTTTATAATCATGCATATTTTTA